CTGAAGAATGTCGGAGTGTACAACGGCCGAAACGTCGTGAATAGGGCAATATAGACGAGGACAACAATCTGAAAAATGTAAATAATGGAAATCATTCTAAGCATAAATATTGCATTTCGTGATCCAGTGTCTTTAACAAACCCGCACTGTTCTTATCCTATTTTCAGTCGAATTCTGATGAATAGGGGGTGCCACAGAATTCTGCGCCGAGCTCTATTCATCAGAATTAGGATAATAGGGTTTGTTATATGGTTGATTCCACTGATCGTCCGCTTGCAACTGGCTTCTTAGGCAGTGATATAAAATGGATTTACATAGGTTTTCCGGTATATCACCACTGTTGTATGTTCCATTTATTATGTCTGTATCTTGTTAATACTAAGACTCCCTGCATCTCAATTCCTTCTGGTCCTGATGCTTTGTTTTTGTTCAATTTGGCCAATGCTGGTTTCACTTCAGATTTTAATATTGCTGGTCCTTCGATATTTCTATGCATTGTGGGATTTGCTCTTTAGTCATTGAAGAAGTCAGCGATGTATTCGTTCCCATCTCTGAAGTATTTTTTCTTTTTCTAATTTCAGTGTCCCGTACATAGATTTTATGCAACCTGTTGATGAGCTTGTCTTCTGTTTTGTTAATTTTTGCTATTTGTTTATGCATATCAGCTTAATCTGTAATACTCATTCTTTCTATTTCTTCACACTTTCTGTTAAACCAACCATCTTAAACCTACCTGCATTTGTTCTTAATTTATTTGTGCAGTGTCCTATATTCTGTGTCTTAACTAGGCATTGTTTTTAGTCACTAATTTCATCTTCACTCTTTCTTTTTTTCCTTATCTGGTTTTCTTTGGGATGATCTCATTTGCTGGTGTTACTAAAGCTTCTCTTAACGTGTCCCACTTAATTCTCCTTTACATTCAAAGTCATTCAAATGTCAGACCTATTGCAATTTTGGTGCTGACCCTTTTCCGTAGTCTCACTCTAAGTTTACTTATCACTGGAAGATGGTCGCTCCCACAGTCGGCACTTGCGTATGTTTTGCAGTGTAAAACCGAATTCCTGTATCTCTTATTGATAGTTATATAGTCAATTAATTTTTTTTTTGTTTTCTCCTGAGCGTCTTCATATCCACATATATCTTGAATGTTCTTGAAAGCAGGTGCTGGCTACTGCCTGATCATTTGCCATGCACGATTGGATCCTTTTTTCACCGTGTTCATTACGAGCTCCTAGTCCATATTTGCAAACTATTTCACTATCTCTCTCCTTAGCTACTTTCATATCCTGGTCTCTCATGGCAATTATAATTTCTTGTTATTTGCATTAAGCTTTGTTCTTAGCTACCATATGATAAAACTCTTTCTTTTTCCGTAATCCGTGCTCTTGATGCGTATACATCTATGATGGATACGTTAAAAGATTTTCCTTTCCGTTTAACTACAGGAATTCTTTTAGATAGTTAATACTATCCCAGAAAACATTTTCCATGACTTGTTCTTATATCAGTTCTACTCCTCTCTCATTTTTCTCTCCGTCTGCATGATTGGCTGTTGATCTTTCCTCTGACATCTATAACATCTCGGTAGGCTAAAAATGACTGGTTAGATTCAGTACCTCGAAAACAAAACTAGTTACATCTCATCATCGCTGATCGGGGCCATAACTATCAATAACCACGATGAACGGATGTTCCCTCAGGGAGGTCCCGTGCCTTGACCGCCTATTGGGATTAAAATCAACCCAAACCTCAAGTAAAAGTCGTCGCTAAAGATACTGGTAAAATAGTCGGTTCTCTGTACCGCTCCAGGAAGTATCTGACTCCTCCTGCTATCTTCTATCTTTACAAGAGCCAGATTAGGCAAAAAATGGAGTACTGCTGCCATATATGGATAGGAGTTGCCCAGTCTTCGATTTCCAGTTTTGATAGAGTTCAAAAGCGTCTCCAGCGTCCTTGTAGCCAACAAATTATTTCCCACACTACAACCCTTCTCACAGACGCATAAACTCTGCCTCTTGGATTTAAATTAACTTCCGGCGTTTCAACAATGAGTTTGACCTTCAGACATGTCCATAATCGCAAGACGATAGAGGATTTGAAAGACTTAGATTTTGCGGTGTTTTGTCAAAAAAAATTAATCATTTCACCACAAGCAAGATAATAATACCACTACGACGGAAGCGTTTATTGAGTGTTAGAGAATATGAGAAAAATACTATTAAAGAGAAAGAACAATAAACGAAAAAGAATTAAGAAAACATAAGATAACGATTGTCATTTTATTTATATATACAAGAATTGAAGATTCTACTCATTCAGTCTTTGAGGTCCGGACAGTCACACATTAGCCAATTACCACTGAGTAATCCCACAGGATTGTTGACGCATGTGCAATATGGCTTCGTCTGATGGATTGCCAAGTTACATCAATGCCACGTAATAGATACTAAAGATATACAAAATGATTGGATACGTTCCATATAGACTTCATATAACATGATAGTCAAAGTGTTTTCATGCTTCGTTTGTGTGTACGGGGTGTGGGAAATCACACCTCTGTTTTCTTGCGAGAACAAGGTGGATGTTGAGGAGTTAGAAATGTTGGCTGTCGTACAAATAACGAACACCTGCAAAATATAAGCGAGAACGGAATGTAAACAACGAACAGTTGATCCGTATCTGATTGCAAGTGGATTCTCTTACCCTTTTCTTTAAGGCTTTTCTTGTGATGAAGAACTAATACTCGCCTATAAGAGTTAAAATTCAGAGTTGCTACCCAATCTGATAATTAATAATGTAACTTCATATACAGGGTGCGGCATAAATGCTATTTATACCATGTACAAATGTCCTCATCTTTATTGCCATATCCACGACGTTTCGACCGCTGTACGCTCCGGCCTTCTTCAGGTGATAAACGTTGGACTTTCAAATCGAACTCTTTATTTAGTCGTTTGTTCTCGTTCCACGTGCTATGCTATGGTTTGATGCTCGCCTAAAAACGTATACTATTTGGGTTTTCAAAGACTTTTATGTCCCGTGTTCCTACAGGATGTGGGCAATCATGGTTCTTCAGACCCCCTTCTTTCGTAACTCTAAATAATGTTTGTCTCTTTACAATCTCTCCCAGTCACAACTCTGCCATGCATTAACACGTGCTCATCATGTGGGTTACTCAATGTTTCCGCCTTCCGATTTTGCCTTCACTATGTCTTGTGAGTGTCAAATTTTCCAAGCCCTCTTTCCTCATTATGTGTCCTAGACATTTGAAGTCCCTTTCTTATTTAAGTGTCCATTTTGTCTCTATTATCTTTAAAAATCTCTTCGTTGCTCAGTCCATGGCATTCTCAGCTTCCTTCTGTAGAAACGCATATCTGTTGCCTCAAGTCTCCTCTTCATTTGTGAGATGAGGTTGCTGAATGGGGTTGCTGTAAGGGTCTAGAAGGAGGGAATAAGAGATGCATATTATGACGATATGTAGGATAGATAACGGTTGACCCTCGACTTGAAAAGGTTAAGGTTTTAGTGATAGGATCCCGGGTGTCTGTTGCACAAATTAACAGTCCTGGAGAAGAAGCTGTCTGCGAGGAACTCATAGGAAGGAGAATGAGTCGATTCTGTATACATAGAATGGTAGATCCTTTCTATGGAGGCCCGTAGTGATAGAACTAAGTGTGAATATATACCATAAATATAGTGAAAGAGTAACGATGGCTAAGCCAGGTTTCGTCTGTGGTTGTAGGCTGGAAAATAATTCAACGTCTTCAAAGTACAGTATTTATATTATTCGGACTATTGTCCTCATCTTTGTCGCCATATTTATTACAGCGTTTCGGCCGTTGTACGCTCCGGCCTTCTTCAGGTGGTTGAAATGTCGAACTGAACCCTTTATTTCGCTCCTTGGGGAAGACTGTTCTAGTTCCATGTACCATGTCTAACAGACGTCAGTTATCAGTTATCTCCTGTTAATTCCCCTCTCCAAGTTTTCCACCACCTTAACCAGGTATTGAACTCACAACTCTTTGGGTCCTGTCACTGGATCTAACTAACGCCTTTACCCACCGTGCCATGTGTCCTTGAAATGACTGATAACTGACATCTTTTAAAACATGGCACATGCAACTAGAACAGTCTACCCCAGGGAGCGAAATAAAGGGTTCAGTTCGACATTCCAACCACCTGAAGAAGGCCAGAGCGTACAACGGCCGAAACTTTGTAATAAATATTGCGACAAAGATGAGGACAATAGTTCGAATAATGTAAATAGTATACATAATAACTCATCTCAGAAATATAGACAGATGTCTTCAAATTAGTTTGTCATAGCTGGAAAGTGAAGATTGGACAGCGCCATCCCGGATATGGCAGCAATATTCCACTTTTGGTTGGACCTGGCACTTGTAAAGATAGAGCATAGCTGGAGACACTTACTTTTAATGGAGGTACCATTTTTCAAATATATTTGGCAATGGATACGAGTTCAATTTCAGGTCTGAAGTGAGCTTGAGTCGCAGTCGACGTTCCAGCCTCTTTAAGTGTGCAGCTGCTTATCGTGGCTGGTTAAAAGCTTACGGTAATGTTGGTTAAGCGTTACGAGCTTCGTATTGGAAGGATTAAATGTGACAAGCTAGTTAATCCAGGCAGTTTGTTTTCACTGCATCCTGGAATATATAATCCACTGTATGTTGTTATGATCCAATTTTTTAAAGTGATTTAATAAAAATAGTAAGTTTCTAAAATAAGTGTAAGTATTAAAATTTCTATTTTTAAATTAAATAATTTTATAGGCTGCAGTTCCTGTCTTCGTACAAATGGATTTTTTTTTAATTAAATATCAGTAAGCATCGTGAGAGTGACACAAACGGAAATAGGAATTGATTTTCAATATTTTCGGACTGTGAGCGTCCTTCAAAAATCTTTACTTACTGAAGACACCGTGATTTGAAAACATTATGGAAACACTGGATTATAAGTTTTTTTAACCATTATACCTCGGCCAGCGTTATCTTTTCCATATTGCCTATATGCAATGAGTTATTCTCTTTATTTTATTATTATTGCTTTAATATTCTATCTTCTTTCACGTTCTCTCTTTTTCTTCCTCCCTTTTCATTGATCATTTCTTTCTTTTCTTTTTTTTTTTCCTTACTTTTCTTCTTTCTTTCTTCCTGTCTTCTTATCCCTTTTTCTTTCTTTCTTTTGCTTTTTCTCACGACGCCAACTAAGACCATTTCTTCCTTTACCTTTCTTCCTTCTTTTCTTATGTTTTTCTTTTCTTTGTTTTTTATCTTTTTGTTTTCTTTCTTTCTTTTTTCTTTCTTTTTTTCTTTCTTTGTCTTTTCTTTTCACACTTTCATTGAAGGCTTCCAGAACGCCATCTTAAATCATTCTTCATTTTTTTCTTCTTCATTTCTTCTTCCTTCCTTTCTTTCTTTCTTTCTTTATTTATTTATTCATTTATTTCACTTTTTCTCACTAGATTAACGAAGATCATTCAATCCTTTACTTTTCTTCCTTTTCTTCTTATTTTTTCTTTATTCTTTTTTCTTTTTTGTTTTGTTTTCTATTCACACTTTTGTTAAAAAATCAAGAACATCATCTTAAGTCATTCTTTTTTCGTTGCACATTTCTTTCTTTCGTTTTCCTTCCTTCCTTTCTTTCTTTTTGTTCGATGCATTTCCTTCTTTCTTTTCTTTTTTCTTTTCCTCCGATCGATGCATTTCCTTCTTTCTTTTCTTTTTTCTTTTCCTCCGATCGATGAATTTCCTTCTTTCTTTTCCTCGTTCTTTTCTTCCCATCCTTCTTCTATACTTCTGTCTGTCTTTCTTTCTTTCGTTTTTCTTTCTTCCCCTCTTTCTTTTTGTTCGATTAATTTCCTTCCTTCATGTCTTTATTCTTTTCCTCCCATCCTTCTTTCTTTCTTTCTTTCTTTCTTTCTTTTTTATTTCTTTCCATCTGAATTACTCAAGCAAGTAGAGACAGGGTTCTAGTTTGAAGTAAACAAGACCTTTTCTCGCGCCAAAAACATTCCACGGGGAAATGATTCAATCACTAAATGGCGTGCACAAGATTGCATGAGCTGATTAACACATGCGCAGTGTTCAACAATTATGTATGCAGCCCAGTAGTAAGTATGTCGGTTGAGAGATCTAAAAGCCTGATTCGCTGTTGTTGTCATGCAATCATTGCACACAAAACGATTATATCTTCTGTCTGGGTGCGGGGGGTGAGATGTTCTACTTTCATTTTTCTATGCATTATTCAGACTTGTGTTTTTATCTCTGTTCTTTTTATCCCAACCCTTTTTTTTCGGTCAGAATGTTATTCCTTGTAGAGTTGTAATGGATTGTTCTATTTTCAATATTCTTCCCCTTAATCGTATTGTCGTCTTTATTTTTGTTGCTTTTAGAATCGTCAAGTAAGCGGGAATAGATAGATAGATAGATAGATAGATAGATAGATAGATAGATAGATAGATAGATATGAATAGAGTGTGATAGGTAAATAGATAGGTATGAATAGGATGAGATACATAGAGAGAGAGGGGGGAGTGATAGAGAAGATATATTAAGATAGATAGATAGATAGATAGATAGATAGATAGATGTGAATAGAGTGTAATAGGTAAATAGATATGAATAGAATGAGATAGAGAGAGAGATAGATAGATAGATAGATAGATAGATAGATAGATAGATAGATAGATAGATAGATAGATAGATAGATAGATATGAATAGAGTGTGATAGGTAAATAGATAGATCTGAATAGGATGAGATAGATAGATAGATAGATAGAGAGAGAGAGAGAGAGGGAGAGAGAGAGAGGGAGAGAGAGATGAGTGATAGAGAAGATATAGATATATATATATTAAGATAGATAGATAGATAGATGTGAATAGAGTGTAATAGGTAAATAGATATGAATAGAATGAGATAAAGAGAGAGGAGAGATAGAGAAGATATATATTAAGATAGATAGATAGATAGATAGATAGATAGCTGTATATTTCTGAGATGGGGTATTTTAATTATTTACATTGTTTGGATTTTTGTCCTCATCTTTATTGTCATATTCACGACGTTTTGGCCGTTGTACGCTCCAGCCTTCTTCAGGTGCTCGGAATTTCGAACGGAACCCTTTATTTCGTCCACCCGAGTAGACCATTCTAGTTCTACATGCCATGCTTCTTCCGTATGTCTCAGTTATCTCCCTTTAACACAAGTTTTTTGTTCACTACTGCAGTAGCAACCCTTTGTTAAGTCAAGCCACTGTATCCAATAAACATTTTTATCTACTGTATCCTGTTTTCTTGAGGACATCAGTGTATGAATTTTCGGGAATTATAAACCTAACATCTCATTAACCATTTTTACCAGAGCTCATATTGGAATTGTGTTATTATTATTATTATTATTGCTTTTCTCTAGCACTCCGTTTTACTGGTTCCCATATTCTATTCATTTATATGCTTGATTTTTGTGGCCCAGCATATGTGCTGATTCCTTAAGTTTTCGTATTTCCTAGTGTTGTTCTTTGTCTAGTATTTCAACCTCATCCCACAGGGGGGGGCGATCTCCTTATTCCCTCCATATGTGGTCAGCTACACTTGATTATTTTATTTCCCCTCGTTTTAAGGCTTTAAGATGTTCTTGCAATCTTGCCTTAAGAGGACGGCCTGTGTCCCTTTTATATTTCGGACCACAGCTGCTCGAAATGGCTTACACACAGACCTGGAGAAGAAGCTTATTTTCTCCTCTATGAGGGGTCTTACTCAGATGTGGGGTCTGCGAAGTGTCGAACTACTTGTGAAGGTCGTCCTGGTGTTACATGGACCACAGATCTTTCTTCGATAATCCCTTTACATAGGGTAGGCAGACCGAAGCTGTTTTCTGAGTGTTCTTATCCTTTTGTACCCTTCTATTCCAGTTTGTCAAAGCTGCTGCATGTACCCAGGGTAGTTGTTACGTTTTAGGGTACTGCTTATAATGACAATTTATTGTTCTTATCTATCTATCTATCTATCTATCTATCTATCTATCTATCTATATTCCTAACTATGTATCTATATTCATATCTCTCGATCAATCTATCCATCTATCTATCTATCTATCAAACTATTCATATGTATTTCTCTATCTTTATTCATAACAATCTAGCATCGAAATCTATGTATACTTATCTATCTATATATTTAGAAAGATATGTAGATATGTAGATACATAGATATGAATATATGTAGAGAGATGGATATCAGTAGAGAGAGATAGATATGCACATATATAAACACAGATATCTACATAGATATAGATATTAATACAGATATGATAGATAGATAAATAGATAGATAGATAGATAGATATGAATATGTATATGACTATATAGATAGATAGGAATATACATTGATATGAATGTCATATGTTAAGAAATGGACAAGGTCCGACAATTTATTTATTGAAGACATTTTTATTTATGTTTAACGTAGTTAATGTCTATTTGCTTAAATACTTGTATCTATAAAATAACAACGTTAAACATAAATAAAAATGTCTTTAATAAATAAATTGTCGGACCTTGTCCATTTCTTAACATATGACGTCATTTGTTTACATTCGATACGCCAGAGCAGTTATGAATGTACGAGATTCATGGAAGATTGTAGTTTATAACAGTAAATTCGACCTTGTCTACCATAAGGTTCATGGTGGCCGAGTGGTAAGGCATGTCAGCGTATATGACAGTTCCGTATAGGATGCAGGTTCGAATCCTGTCTATGAACGAATATTTTCTATGAAAATTTCTCGGACATTCAGGCCGGTAAATGTTATTTAATACTGTTTATCTTAAACAGAGCATTTGCTTAAATACTTGTATCTATAAAATAACAACGTTAAACATAAATAAAAATGTCTTTAATAAATAAATTGATATGAATATAGATAGGTAGATACAATGGAGTGAGATAAATATGAATGGAGTGAGATAGATATATAGATGGGAATAGAGTAAGATAGATAGATAGATATGAATGGAGTGAGACTGAAGAGACTGATATATATATATTGAGATAGATATGAATATAGTTTGATATGAATATAGATAGATGGATATAAATAGTGAATAGTGAGTTAGAAAGATCGAAAGATTTGAACAGGTGTAGATATTTATCCCCCTGTTCCTTATTCTGCGTCGTGTTTCCAGTTTATTCTAAAATATTTTCATTCTTCTTCACTCCCAGTAGCCTCTTGCATTTTAAAGGCATTTTCACCTAGCTTTTTAAAAATCCCGTTTTTGCTTCGATAAAACCGATTTTTAGACGCTGGAAATGAAGTAAGTTCCATTTTTTTTTTTTTTTCACCCCAAGCAAGGCAGGAAGCCACTAGGACGCAAGGGGTTACAGAAAATTTATAACAAGATCAGATAGGAGTGATAGAAGAAAGGATGAGGGTAGTGGATAGATTAAGGCAAATGGAGATGTCGATTGACATTACACTTGAATAGCTGGAGATTATAGCACACAGGGAAACAGGAATAGGGAAGGGAGTTCCACAGGCGAAAGGTGTGAAACATGAAGCTATTAGAGTAGAAGAGACGGCTACATTTAGGAGTTTCGACAGTGAAGGGATGAGAGCGGGATGCCAGCCTCGTAGGGCGCTGGAACTCATGACGTCTGGGAACCAGCGAATGCAGCTCCTCAGAGCAATTTCCATGAAAGTATTTGTAGAACAGACAGAGGGAGGCGACGGCGCGTCTGTGAGAAAGTGTCTGTAGACGAGATGCCAGATCAGGGCCAATTATATTGCATATCCGCCTCTGGAGCCTATCAAGAACCCCGAGGCAAACAGAAGGGGCGCCAGATCATATATGGCAGCAATACTTCATGCAAGGGCGAATTGTGGATTTGTATATCCGGAGGATCGACTCCGGGGAGAAAAACTTCCTAGCGCGGCTCAGGGTGCCAACTTTCCTCGCAGTGGACGAGGCAATTGACGGTGTATTTATTCCATCTCAGGTCAGCAGTCAACGTGGGACCGAGAAGCCGCAGAGAGTTGCTCTCGAGAAGTTGAGCGTCAGACATTCTAATGGAGGGAAGGGAAGGCTCTCTGTGGTGATTAACAGAGAGCAGTTTTGTCTTAGAAGCGTTGAAGTTGACCAGCCAATTCATGCCCCAGTTCACAATCGATTGGAGGTCCTTTTCAAGACGCACGGCCAGGTGAGTTTTGTCAGGGAGACTAGATTTGTTTTTGAGGCAGGAATAAATTGTGGTTTTATCCGCGTAGATGCCAACTTGGGAAGTTACGGCGTCAGGAAGGTCATTTATGTAGATAAGGAATAGAGTGGGGCCTAGGATGGAGCCTTGAGGAACACCTGCGTTCGTGGGATAGGAACCGGAGGAGAATCTGTTGAGAACGACCTTCAATTATCCCGAGAGTATTGATATCTGGGGGCGGTGACTATTATCCTCCGGCCTACAGTGAGGATGATAACAGAAGGGTCACTGTTCTATATGCATTCAGATGATACCGCAGTATATGAGTGAACATCCGAAAATCTTGATGATTTCCTCAGATCAATGGAGAAAAACGAGCTGTTTTTAAGGCAATTCACCCCAAGTAAGGCGGGGATGCCTCTAGCACGCAAGGGTTTACAGAAGATTGAGAACAAGAGTAAAGAGGCGTGTTTGAGGAAAGGATACAGAGAAGGATGGAGAACAAGCTCAGGGAGTCAAATATCGATTGACATTACATTGAATGTTTGATTATAGTCAACGCGGAAGCAGGTAAGAGGAAGGGAGTTCTACAGATGGGAAGCGCGGGAGAAAAAGCTATTTGAGAAGAAGAGACGGTGGGTCCGATATGCCATCCTGGTAGTACGTTTAAATTCAGGTAGTCCGGGGACCAGCGAAAGTAGTTCGTCGGAACAGTTGCCGTGAAAATATTTGTAGAAGAGACAGAGAGAGGCCACAGCACGTCTGTCGGATAGCGATTGTAGACTAGATGCCAGATCAGGACCTATCATCTTGCATATTCATCTCTGGATATTGTCATGGACCTCGAGACGTACAGCGGGAGCACTAGACCATATATGACAGCAATATTCCATGCAAGCACAGATGGTTGATTTGTAGATTTGAAGGATTGACTCAGACGAGAAAAAATTTCTGGCACGACACAGCCAACTTTCTTTGCAGTAGATAAAGCTATTGATTCAATGTATTTATTTCACCTCTTATCAGTGGACAGCGTGAGAGATGGACTACCTCCAAAGAACAGTAATGTCCCCTAACCCAGCGAGCCTTATCGCCTTTCTTGGGAATAAATGATTAAAATGAAAGGTAATTTCTCTAAGCCTTCTTTCCTCATTACATGCTATAGCAATATCAAGTATCTCTCTAAGATCCTAAGCCCATACATTTTTAGTTCCCATTTACTATTAAAACGTGCTACTTTCTTATATGTTTTGTCCATGTTATACGCAGTATCCTTCTCTGGAATCAAAACATTGTTGCCTTAAGTTTCTTCTTCCTCTGTGAGGAAACTGTCCAGCATTTACTGCTATATAGGACTGATATTCCGTAAGCGTTGAGCCCTAACATAATTTTCCCGTTTCTTAATTCTTTGCATAGCTTTTGGAAGTCATCTTTCTCTATTCCAATGAGCCTTCAGATTTCGATGATACAGAAGAATTCTCAATCCTGCAAATCTATTTTCTTCTTCTTAATACTTTGCTTATCTTTTGAAAGTCATTTTTCACTATTCCAATGCGCCTTCGTATTTCGATGATACAAAAGAATTCACAACTGCGAATGTCTTTTCCTGCTTCTTAATATTTTTCTTAGCTTCTTTTCTTAGAATCTTTCGTTATCCAGTCGATAAAAGCATTGGTCAGATTTAGTGACTAGATCCAAAGAGTTGTGAGTTCAATACCAGGCCACATCAGTGGCGTACCAAAAACTTGGAGACTTGAGTTAAAGTTGTTAAAGTTAAATAACTAAGACATCCGGGAGAGGCATGGCACGTGAAACTAGAACAATCTACCGCGGTGGACGAAATAACGGGTTCGGTTCGAAATTCCAATCATCTGAAGAAGCCCGGAGCGTACAAAAAGAAGAATTGATTGATACAAGTTTTTAAATTGCCTAGAAAAGATACTGAGCGATTAAAAACAAAATGAAAACAATATACCCTGCAAGATCAAATAAAGGTGGAGTGTACAAGGCCCTGGATAAAATGTTTTGTTTTTTTTTTTTTGTTTTTTATCCCGTGACCCGTAGAAAGTGATGTTTCTTGGGCAAGATAGCCTGACGGAGCCCAACCCTCTCCAGGTCCGTTTTGAATTCAGAGTTTTACCTTCTTCTAGACAGCTCGCAGCCCAAGGTTATAGAACCCAGTTTGTCCTGCTAGTTACTCATAGCTGGGAGGAGAAGAGGATTCATACATTTGCCAAGGGTATTAGAACATAAATGAATGTAATGGAATCGACTGGAATTCGAACTCTGTTCTCCGATTCTTCAATCCGAGCTGCTATCCATTACTCCGCCGTGCCTCCACCTTTAAAAGCTGCTCAATATCCAAAGATGGTGATGATGTGTATCTGGTGGGATTGGAGAGGAATTGTGCATTACGGATCCCTCCGCAACATCACATGTTTCATTCAGACCAGTACCGCCCCAGGGTGGCCATTGGAAGTCAGGAATCAATGAAAAGCATCCGAAACGATGCCATCTTCAATTAGGACATTTCTCATTGTAGACCCGGTAAAAATTAGTAAATCTTGGCTGGAATGACCTACTACACCCGCTGTACTAACTACAACTTGAATCTTCAGATTACCACATTCCATTCCATGCAAAATTCTCTTAATTGGAAGAATTTCAATTCTCTGGGATCCTGTAAAATCCATTTAGACAATGTCATCACCCAGAAAGATGCCAAATTCTTGGATGTTGAAATCATCAAGCTGCCTCACTGGTGATGAAGGATAGTGGGAAAATGGCTCCTATGATATCAATAAATCTAAGTACAAATATTTAAATATTGCCTTTGAAATTCTCTTAAAAAAGCCCCACAAACATTTGTTGCAACCCAATATATAGACATAGTAAATATACTATAATTTAGAAAACTAAATCAAAACTTTCAAATCTAACACAAAAGAAATATAAAAACGATTGCGAATTCAAAAAAAATATTTATACAAGCAGACGAATGAAGAAAAATTATAAAATTTAAAATATAAGAAATTAGTGAATGTTGAAGAAAAAAATAAAATGAATACTAATACATATGACAAATTATTTAACTAGGAATTCAACAAATTTTATAAAAAATAAAATAAGCAATGAACCGGAAATATAAAGAAAGATAAAAACAACTATTAAACTCAGATAACAGAATTAAACG